GATGATGGAGTCATGTTATCCACCGTCCTTTCATGAAAAGTAAAAAATAAGAAAATCAACATATAATCATTCATTCAACAAATAAACATGTCAATCATGAGCAAGACACAGTCTTCAAAGATAGGAATCAATAAAACCAACAAGGTATCTGCTCTCAAGGAGCCAGGGGTAAGGATTCAGACAATAAGAGAATTTCACATGGTTATAAATACACAGTAATATACAACTATAGAGCAAGCTGAGGTGAGAGAGAGGGGATTCTATTTTAGCCGACTGGTCAGGAATGGCCCTTCTAAAAAGGAAATATTTGAAGAGAGAGCTGAACAAGATTACCTGAAGGCAACACATTCCAGCTAAGGGAAGGACTAGCAGTGGTGAGCAAACTATAGTCTGTGGGCCAAACCCAGTTTGTGCAAAGCTTTATTGGAACACAGCCAACCTCTTTTGTTTTTGTGTGATGCTATAATAGCAGAAGAAACTAGTTCTTTATAGGAAAAAAAATAACCTGTCAATTTACAGAGAAAAAAAAATTGTCAATCCCTGGGCCAACCGTGTAAAGGCCTAGACTGAGCACTAAAATGAAAAGGATTTGATCAATTAGACATAACAGGTGAGGGAAACAGAAGAAATAAAAGATAAAATCTAGGGCTATACCCTGGTGGTCCAGTGGTTAGGATTCCACACTCTCACTGCCGAGGGCCTGGGTTCGGTCCCTGGGTTGGGAAGATCCCCTGGAGAAGGGAACAAGCTACTCACTCCAGTATTCTTGCCTGGAGAATTTCATGGACAGAGAAGCCTGGTAGGCTACAGTCCATTGGGTTACAAAGAGTCAGACATGACTGAGTGACTTTCAAAGAAAAGAATTACTGAGACAGGAAATAATAGGCTTTGGGGAATAAGGAATTCTATAACATAAAGAGAATATTAATTTTAAGGACTTAAACCTTATTCCCCACTTCCTAAAGAAGTAACTTGCTCTACAGAAAAGCTCAGAAAAGGTTTTAATTTTATTTTAAAATACACCATTGGAATCAAACCACCAATTGATTTATCTTATAGTTTAGATCTTTTAATTTAGGGGTCTTTTTTCTTACTTTTCTAAAGCAGAACTATTTTACTTATACTCTACAAAGAAAGCTATTTACACATTCATTCATTCATTCATTCCACTGAGCACATGGTATCTCAGGTCCCTGTTCAGGAATCAAACCCATGCCCGCTGCAGTGTAAGGGCAGAGTCTTAACTGCTGGACCACCAGGGAAGTCTCATATTTTGTTTTCTTAAATCATATTGTGTCTGCATGCCAAGGGCGTAAAAAGTATAATTTTACTTGTACAGAGTATAAAAATCAGACATACTAACACTTGATTATGGCTATTTACTTCTGTATTTCCCCCCCTCCAAGAATTTCTGCTGCTGCTGCTGCTGCTGCTAAGTCGCTTCAGTCGTGTCTGACTCTGTGTGACCCCATAGACGGCAGCCCACCAGGCTCCCCCGTCCCTGGGATTCTCCAGGCAAGAACACTGGAGTGGGTTGCCATTTCCTTCTCCAACGCATGAAGGTGAAAAGTGAAAGGGAATTTCTAAGACAGGTTAAAAACTTTTTTTCCCCCTCCACCTAAGATAACTTAGGTTATCTAAGTTTCTATCATAGTGGTTAGAGATGCTTCAAATTCCAACAGTACTGAAAAGCATTTAAACACAATTTCAGCTGGCAAGAAGAGCATACCCTTCCAGATTAGTGCTTTCTTAGAATTTCACCTTCCAGACTCTTCATATTCATTCACCCACTTCTTTTCACCTCCTGGCACCACCTTAATCCAAACCATCAACTCAACCCCAACAGCTTCCTTGCTTCTAATACCAATACTTTGCTACCAACAGATTCATAATTGGTCTATTTTCACCCTTGTCTCCTTCAATCCATTCTCTCCCAGTGCAACCAAGTAACTCACTAAAATACAAACCTGTTCTTTTTACTATCCTACCAAAAATGTTTCAATGTCTTCCTACTGTTCTTAAGGTGAAATTCCAAAATCCTAATTATGACATATAAGAAAGACCGTATGCCATCTGGCCTCTATTTATTCTGACAGGATCACCAACAACTCTCCATTTTTCATTCATTATGATCCAGGTACACTGGCCTCTCTCAGGTTCTCATTCACTTATCTCTCCTTATTAAAACTTTCTGAACACTTTCTACTCATATCATGTGGGTGTGCTCAATCACACAGCCTGGGTTTGAAAACAAGCTCAATGCTTATGAGCAGTTCACACTTGAGCAAGTTAACTACAACCCTCATTTTCTTCATACATAAGATAGAGATAATTCTTACCTCATAAGACTGCTGTGAGGGATAAATGAGATCATAAATACAAAGGACTTGGTGACAAATCTGACAGGTGACAGGATTTTTTAACTCTTTCTTGAATGAACCCCAATACGATTGATAAATTGCTCTAAGGCCATACCAGGAAAAAACTATCCCTAGTAAAACATCAACCTCCCCAAAGAAAACTATTTAAGTAGAAATAAATATGGTACCTTTTCTAATCCTTAGTAACTAAGAGGGATTTTAGAAATCATCTGAATCAACTTTTTTTCCTTACAAATGGAAACACAGGGCCAGAGACTAGCTCAAGGTTACACAATTATTAAGAGACATATTCAGAATCCAGCTTTATGAACTCTTAGTCTGTTTACTAGTAGGTATTTTTAATATGCAAGTAACAACAAATTAGTGGTCATAAACTAATGTGAATTTAAAAAATAAAGCAGAAAACAGAGGGGAGTACAAATAGCAAGGGTTAAGTAATGTTCTGAGAAATTCTGTGCCAGTATATACATGTATGTGGGCTTGGGTATATGTCTTTACAATGAACATAGTTATACATGTATTTATTTTAAGGGAACTATATACAATGGGCCTATAGTCCCCTTAGTATAATAGATACTATGTGTCACTATAATCCAAAACAGCAGATACAGCAGCAGAAAAAAGAGGCAGAAACATAATGAAGGAAGCCAATTACTCATGTGTTTTTTGAGATCACAACCTAAAAAAATTCCTGAAAAATGATTTTTAAAATAGGTGTAAAACATTACCTGCTAGGAGACGTGGAAGTAGGGCTTGAATTTCCAACATGATGTTGGGGATATGACAAACTGACCTCCTGTGAGGCATGGCTACTTCCTAAGTGAAACAATTCGAGAAATTCTTATTGTTAGAAAGTTTAATTTGAAGTTTTGTATTCCTCAGCCCAATCATTCCAAAAAAGGTAGACATAACACTTAAACTGAAAATCTCAAATTTCAGTAAATTGCTTTATAGTTCAGAGAGAAAACTAAGTGTCTACCTTTATTTGTAGTTACAAATAAGGTACTACCCAGTGTACAACAGACAATGTATAAATACCCAATCTGGCCATTGTACTCTGATCCCCACACTAAATTGTAAAACTGAATACAAGGAAAGTTCCATCCTTACATGATCACGTATCAAAATTTGTAAAAGCAAATTACAAAGCAGTCAGGAAGACTTTCAGGCAATAATCTTTGTGCTTTTAGAGCATGAACCCAAAATCAGTCATTCTAACAATGAAGGTTTATGTTCTTTTCACCAACCCAAACTGAAATTTTAACTCTCTTGAAAATTACCACTTTCAAAATCCATACTGTCAATATTTTTATTGACAATATTTTTATTGTCAATACCCATTTTTAGCGATATATAGTTTACTGTTTATAAAGCTTAAAGCATTTTCACCCAAAAAGACGTTCTCAAAAAGAGAGGTTCTCTAAAACTGAATAACAAAATTAAAAACAAAAAATGAAGCAGTGAACAATCTCTCTGCCCAAATCATCAGTAAATAGTTACCTGATCTAAACTGAATCTTGATAGGCCTTCCAAAAAGTTTGATTCCATTAAGCAGATTCATGGCGTAAGGAACAGATACTTCATGTTTGAAATTCACAAACGCAAACTGCTTCGGTTTACCATCCTTGTCTTTTGGAATTTTCACTTTAATTACTGGACCAGCCTACAGACACAAAAAATTGTTCAGAATTTCAGTAAGGCAGTTTCAGGAAAATACTCAAATTTCACCAAGTTTATAATGTAACCATGGACTCTTACAAAACGGATACACACCGATTTCCCTCACGGTTAAAGATCCTATAGATAAGACTGAAAATTAGGTTAACTTACTTGGGGGAGGGAGCCCATAAGGAACTGGAAACCCAATCACTGAATTTACACTTCACTGCACTTTATGACTAATATCGCGGACAACACCCATCGTTTCCCCACTTGTGGAAATTAATGTTTATCAAGAGCAACAGAAAGTTTTCTTGGACTAAAAGCTCACTTTTGCATTGATCGATCAAACCATTGCCAGCTGTTGGAGGGTACAACTGGAGGGAACAAGTTTAACACGTTTTAATACAGATCTTAATACAGAAACACTACAATGCCGCTTTCCTACGGAGTCTGAGTCTCAGCTTTTTCTATGGAGTCTTATGAGTCTCTCTTTGCTGCAACTTCGTAAGAAACTTAAGTGGAAAATGAATACTGACAAATTGAAATAAAATTTACAAGCAGAAGATGAGAAAAGGAGGGAAAGTGCAGCTCAACGAAGGATCCACACGTTTGAGGCTCCTTAAAGAGCCTGAATCTTTAGCACAGGAATGCCCGATTGAGAACCCACCACCACCTTTAGTCTTCACTTTGGCCTGAACTAATTAGGGTTCTTCTCAGAAAGCCCCACGTAGCGAGCGCCTCCCTTTCTAAGCTTGACCCCCGCCTCCAGCCCGCCCACCTGTCAGGGTGCCGGGACGCACCGTCCCGCTTCCGCCAAGGAAGCGCGGATCGCCGTTGGGCCGGACCCTAGGCGGGCCGGAAAACGAAAGGAATAGGCTTATCCCAGCCGCTTACCTGGTGGAAAAGCTCGAAGAGGAGCTCCTCTGTCACTTTCGTTTCAAGGTTGCCCACAAAGAGAGTGCGATCCGCTTCGGCAGCCGCCGCCCCCATCTCAGCGTCGCCCCCTCCCGAAAAAGGCCGAAGGGTCGCCGCCGACGCACGCACTGCGCACTCTCAGAAACCCCACGTCCTCGCTCACCCAGGCGTCACCGACGTAAACGTCAATCACGCCGGCTCTCCGCAGCGTTGACGTGCACTGACGGACTGCGCATGCTCCGAGGAGAGGGCTCGGAGAAGGCTCCTGGTCGCTCACTGGTGTAGTGATGGCTTCCTGTGAAGTCGGTCTCCGCTGTCGAGATCCGCTGAATTGATCTGCGGAGTCGCGAAGGGCCTGCCTTGACGGAAAGACGTAACATTAGATACTACGGGCAGTGTTTGAAGATGGCGCAGAACTCTGTGTCCCTGTCCGCCGGCGATCGAAGGAGCCGGGTAGCTTACCTCAGCTCTTCCCACGGTGACCTCAGCTCATCGGCTTTAGCGTTGGCGATGGTCTCCGGAGACAGCTTCCTCGTTACCAGGCCCGAGGCGATTCTTCCAGAATCTGTTCCTCGATCCTCTGTGCGGCTGAACTTCCGGACCGAGAGCCGTCGGGCGCCTGGTGGCGGCCGAAGCCCGACCCGCTTTAATGAGGGAAGGGAACTGGAGGCGCGGAGCCGAAGCCGACAGGCCAGATTCTCACCTTACCCGCGCCCTGCGGTGAAACTCGACCTTCTAAGAAGTGTCCTGCAACAGCGTCTGGTGGCACTTGGAGGAGTTATCGTAGCCCGTCTTTCGGCTTAAAACCACTACCTTCCTCGGCCCTTCAATTAGCGTGTAAACAAGGCCTCTCTCTGAAATACTTTCTTGGTGCAACCGAAGTCTACTTTTTAGAGGGGCATCTTTTCTCTAACCTAGCGCAAAAGAAAATGTTTGCAGTTACTTGAGTCACACGGTTTTAAATAGCCACGATGATTAGGTTGGAAGGGAGGAGGAGCAGAGATTCTGTTGAGGTGGTCACAAAGCTGAGCTGATTGGATCATCCTTCCCAGAGGTCAATACTCCGTTTGTCCTCGCAACAAAGAATCACATTTTTCTCGCTTTCCACAAGTCTTAGGGACCTCCCTGGCAGATTCTCCTACTTTGAGACTTGTAATTCCGAGCTTCCTTAACTGCCTACCTTTCCACCTCGGGCTAATATTACCTTTACTTATGTTGGTTTATTACTCTGGCATGTCCTCCCACCTGTGGTCCTACACTTAATCCTATCATTTTGTCCCTTAGACTTCTTCCATCACCATCCTCCATCCTTTCTTAAGGAATGGCTATAGACTTCAGTCTCTACTACACTAAAGCAACAAAAGCAAAACCTAAACCTTGCTGCTCCTTTAAATTGTTAAACGGATTTACGTTTATTTGCCAAAGGTCCCAAATTAATTTTTACACTGTCATTTTATTACTCGCAGTCAATCCCAGTTTCCTTAATCTGAATCTTCTCCCCAAATAGGCAAAAATTGGAAACCTTCATCTTACAGTCTACTGCTGTTAGGAAGCTGATCATGTATTCACTCTAGCATCTTCCTTAAACTTTCCTGTTTGTCTTTTCCCATTCAAACATTAAATTATATTTGAAGATTTTCCCAGTGCTAAGCACTTTAGATGAACTTTTCCTAGCCCTGCTAACAAGGAGATCAAGCATACTTTGGATTTAGTGGCTAACAAATCACCAGGCTGGATTGTCCACTAGGTCAAGTGATGAAAATAACCCTGGTTGCCATGGCTTTCCATAATATTGCACTATCCTGGTTCTTCTCTTAACCTGGCTGACTACTCTTTGAAAGTGTTGCTCAGCCACCTTGACCTTTTTCGACCTCTTGGACTGTAACCTGCTGGGCTCTTCTGTCCATGGAATTCTGCAGGCAGGAATACTGGAGTGGGTAGCCATTCCCTTCAGGGGATTTTCCTGACCCAGGAATTGACCTGGGTCTCCTGCATTGTAGGCAGATTCTTTACCATCTGAGCCACCAGGGAAAACCACTCTTTAATCTGCTAATAATTTTGTCAATCATATGTTCCCCAAGGTTTAAAGAGTGATATTGGGAGGAAATAAGTGGGTTTTGTAAGTGGCAAATCTTAATGTTAAGCAGGTAAGAGTCTAGCTTTTTCCCAGTGGACTCTGGTCTATAATTGTGTTAGATAAAACAAAATTACACACACAAAAAACAATTGAATTCTGAAAACTACATTCTAAGAAGAATTTTGACAAACCAAAGAGTGTCCACATGAATGATTAATATAGTGAGAGGTCTAGAACCCACCTCTTAAGAAAAATGTTTGACAGGGTAATAATAGCTACATTTTATTAAGTACTGTGTGCAAGGCAGTGTGCTAGGGGCTTTTATTGTTTATTCAGATATTTATTGAGAACTTATTCTGTGCCTGCTACTACCTGTGTTAGGTATAGAATAAAGTGGTGAACAAGATAGATAAATAAGGTCTCTGCTCTTATGAAGCTTTATATATGTCATTTAATTTTCATAACAGCCCATAACAAAAGTATTATACTTTATTTCATTGCTGAGTAACCAAGGCACGAAGAATTGAAATAAACTTTCCAAGGTCATGCAGCTAGGTAGAACCTTGAAGCTGTTCAACACAGGTTCCTCATTAGAATCATGTAACACCAAAAAGGACTTGAGTGACTATTTTCTCAATTCTCCCAAAGATAGTATCTAACTAATGCTATTCCAGATAGCCGAAAAGAAGTTAGTTCATAATATATGGATCCCTTATGGTGGCTCAGAGGTTAAAGCATCTGCCTGCAATGCAGGAGACCTGGGTTCGATCCCTGGGTTGAGAGGATCCTCTGGAGAAGGAAATGGCAGCCCACTCCAGTATTCTTGCCTGGTGGGCTACAGTCCACGGGGTCGCCAAGAGTCGGACACGACTGAGTGACTTCACTTCACTTCTGGCTGGATGTGGTTGAGAAAGAATCCCAAACCTATAAGTGAAGAGTTTGGAGAAGAATAGTAAAATTAAGACTGAAGGTAAGAAAGATTTTCATAAAACTTAGAGATGCCTAGTGGTGGAAATACCACTTTACAGGATAATGGATTAACTGCCCAAAGTTCTCATAGAGGCTAAATTGTGTCAGTTTTGAAATCAGACTAGACGACATCTTCAGTTCTTTCCCATTTGACCTCTAATTCTACACTTTAAATTAAAAACTTGATTAAAATTGAAAAGAGAGAACTGGGGGGTGAGAAGAGAAAAATGAAGTATGATACATAGGATGACCATATTTACTGTGCAAACCAGGGCACTTAGGAGGGAAAGGGTGGTGGGTATCAATTATGTTTAACTTTAGCAACTTGATGTTTACTTTAGGCATAAAAAAGGGCTGTCCTAGGCAGCCAGGTTGGATCATATCACACTAGGAGATGCTGCAACATTAAATACACCTTTGAGACATATTCCTTAGCTTCAGGGAAAGAAGGCTGAAATTTGTGAAGGAAGGGACAAAAATTTGGCATAAATGTACACAGAAGCATGTAAGAGGAAGTGAACCCAGTGGAAGTGAATTGGTTTCTGTTCTCACATAGGGTCATCAGAAGTAGGGATTTGATTAAATAATAAATAGTGTACATGTGCCAGAAATAAAGAAAATGATACAAAAAATTGTTTGATAAGAGTATAACCTTGTTCACATAAATTCTGCATCATTTTATTTATTTTTTTGGCCACACCACCAGACTTATGGAATCTGAGTTCCACGACCAGAGATCAACCCTACACACCCTGCAGTGGGAGTGCAGAGTTTTAACCCCTGGACCACCGAGGAAGTCCCAATGCTTCATAATTCTGAATCTGAGCTGATGAATCTCTAATTTCTCCTGGTTCTTAACATTTGCAACAGTCCAAGTTACAACATCTTCCTAGAATCAAAAAGACTGTGTTATGGAAGCAAGGACTGATAGAAACCTCTCGAAATGATCTAAAGCAAGAACAACTAAGTTTCCCAAAAGTGGTCCATGTTATTAAAAATCCAAATGTTATACAAAATGACTGTAAGTATCACTGCCTGTGTAGCATGTTACCATTCTAAAATAGATGAATTTTCTAAGACAAAAAATAGTCCCTCAGTACGCCATTGTAAGTTTTTAAAAAGCCATGGTAACTTCCTTTTTGTTTTTATAGACCTTTGTTTATTGTATCATACTAGGCAACTGACTAGTATGTGTTGAAGGTAAGTTCTATTAGTATATTTTCTTCCTCTGTTCATCAGCTCTAAAGACTTGAAAAGAATGCCCGTTTGGGGTACAGGAAAAAGGAGGCTCTCTCAATAGCTGGATTTGGTGCTAAGCCTAATTCTGAGAGGGGTAACTCAGCAGAAAGAAAAGAAAGTCCTATGGGAGGGAAGAGTAGGTAGACTTTTAATTTTGAGGCTTAGCTGTATTTCAAACAAAATTATGCCTTTTATTCCTTTTGTGAACCCAGATCACACTCAGGTGCAGCTTTTTTCTTTGCAATTTCCATGAGTATGTATGCTAAGTCCCTTCAGTTGTGTTCAACTCTTTGTGACCCTGTGGACTGTAACCCACCAGGCTCCTCTTGTCCATGGGATTCTCCAAGCAAGAGCACTGGATTGGGTTGCCATTTCCTCCTCCAGGGGATTTTCTCAGGGATTGAACCCATGTTTCTTGTTTCCTGTGTTGGCAAGTGTGTTCTATACCACTGACGCCACCTGAGAATCCCAATTTCCATGAAAAGTCCTCTTATTTCCCTAGCCAACCAGTGTGTAAGTTTGAATGCCTATGACTCCTTACTACCTATTTTCCTATCTTTATTGCCTATGTCCATTCAGTTGCAAAGTCCTGCTCCTTTTATTTTCACAATGTACGTATATTAACATTTATATGTATTTCATTACCTATACTGTATTTACCTGAACATCTATCCTGTTTTGTTTGCTCTGTTTCTCTGCATCCTAAGTGTGTATAGCTGCAGACCAATAAACTCAAAGCATATCTCTCTGATCCCATAGTTAAACTATAACTTTACAGTACTGACTGTAAATTACTCCAGTGTTAACCATAGTAAATCCCACAGAATCTGTATGAGAAATACAAGATGCTATTTTGAAAAAGGACACAGTAAAATTGACAAGTGCATGTTTTATCACCTTCTTAGGGAGACATAATGTGTAATAACTTGTTAAAATTTCTGGTAATTCATTTGCAGGATCATAGTTAACTGATTAGGGATCAAACCCATGTGCCCTGAGTTGGAGGCTCAGAGTCTTAACCATTGGAACATGAGAGAAGTCCCTCAAGCCAGCATCTTTATTCCACATGATTTCTGGTACCTGTCTATGTCTTTGGCAAGTGGGTGGGAGAATGGAGGCAAGCATGCAGCTGCAGATTCCCAGCCACTGAGGAGGAAGACTGGCTTTGTTACTAAGAAAGGGCATTTAGGAACATCCCCTAATGTATATGGGTAGGTGCAATTATTAAGTGTGCTAATAATGTAATGTTAAAAAAACTTATGGTTTACCTGGCTTTTATTTCACTAGAATATCTGAAGGTAGCCCTACTTCACAATACACTTCTGAGTCAGAGGAGAAAAATAATTGTCTTTACTGTCTTTCCAATGAATACAGTAAGCTAAAGACCTGAGAGTAGCCGAAGCAATGAAGCTTTAAAAACTGTACGTTCTTTAAACTGACTTTTAAGACTTCCCATAATCTGACCAAATTATATTGCCAGTCTTCTTTCTTATTCTTAATTCCTCCAGGTGATTGCTGCTCTTATTTTGCCTCTATATCTATGCCTGTCCTAATCCCTTTAACTAAATTACTTGTCCTTAACATTTTCCGCCTGTTAAGTGTTTATCCATCCAGATTGGTTCAAGTTCTTTACTGTTGCAAAGGAACACACCCTTTTTAACCAGGTCAAGCAAAACATGGACTGTATTGACTCATAGAACAGGAAAAGTGTGATAACTTCTGATAATCTACCTAACTAACTATACATTGTCTATAGCAACACCTTGGTTCTTCCTTTCTTTGGAGCCACCTCCTTCCTCCTCTGTTCACATGTTTGCAATAAGTCTTCACACCTAGCTCCAGGGATAGAGGTGTAATCTAGGTCTTATCTCCCTTACTACATTGTCTCAGGGCAGACCACTTGTCTAAGTTAATCTTTATATATATATTTGAACCTATTAAGTGCCCCCAAAGTAGAAATTTAACAAATGCCTGTTAAATGAATGAAGGAACTTCACAGATCTGCTATTTCTCCATGGACTCAAAATCCAAAAATGGAACACTCCGGGACGGGAAGTGCAGGAACTGTAGTGTAAACTTAAAACACACACACACACACATCATGAGAGTTGAGAGTTAAGTTTTATTTGGGGGTGAAATGAGGACTGCAGCCTGGGAAACAGCACCTCAGGTAGCTCTGAGAAACTACTCCAAGGAAGCAGGGGGAAGGTCAGTATATATGAGATTTTGGTGTAGGGGGAGTACAAGCAATGATGCACATATTTTTCCTGAAGGTTTCGTCTGCTCTCATGAAGCTTTTGCTAGTCGTGAGGAACGGTCACCACCATGAATGATTTTAGTACTTTTCTAGATATGAGAAAATATAAGAATTGGGCCTATAAAATTGGCTCCTGAAAATATCTAACTATCTGAAGACCTGTCCTGCCAGTCCACGTCCTCCCCGGTATGGAGGGTGTCATTTCTGCTGTCCACCCTGAACGCCTTTCAGCAGCTGCAACAGCACATGATTTCATCTTTCTAGAGAGCAATGGCAAGTGCCCATGGCAAGTGTGAATTTGCAGTTGACAGTAGTCTCTGGTCTAGGTATCCAGTTGCTTGAGCAAATTAGAGTAAAATGATAAGACTAAGTTTTCTTCAATTAAAAAAAAAAGCCATGTCTTTGTAGCTTACTTGGTCTGTTCTTATAAGAGTGAGAACTATGCTCTTCACTTTCTATATTTTCATTGGAGGCCAAATGTGACTATTATTCTGATTATATAGCGTTTATTTTATCATCCTCCAAGAGCTGAGTATTTTAAATTGTTCAAATTTTTCACTCTATTAAATAACTTAAATAAACATCTCAGTTTGTAAGTTAAAAAAGTGAGTTTTGTTTGAAGGTTTACTTCAATTTAAAATCAGTTTGTCTCTAGGAACATAACCTAATCCAGTGAAAGTGTTAGTTTCTGTCTTGTCCAACTCTTTACAACTCCATGGACTATAGCTGGCAAGACTCATCTGTCTATGGAATTCTTCAGGCAAGAATACTGGAGTGAGTTGCCATTTCCTTCTCCTGGGGATCTTCCCGACCAAGGGATCAAACCTGAGTCTCCTACACTGCAGGTGGATTCTTTACCAATAACCTACAAAATCCTACACCTAGTCCAAGATATGGACAAATATTTATGCACAAATATTTATGCAGATGGGGCTTCCCAGGTGCATAGCTGTGTAAAGAATTTGCCTGCAGTGCAGGGGATACAGGAGACTCAAGTTCAATTCCTCGGTCTGTAAGATCCCCTGGAGGAGGGCATGGCAGCCCACTCCAGCATCTTGCCTGGAGAATTCCATGGACAGAGGAGCCTGGCGGGCTACAGTCCATGGGGTCACAAAGAGTTGGACATGAATGAAGCGACTGAGCACATGCATGCACATTTATGCACATAAATATTTAATTTAATTAAAAATTCCCTTCTTATAATTTTAAGATATGAAAAAAGTTCCATCTAGTCAAAGCTACAGTTTTTCTAGTAGTTATGTACATACATGAGAGTTGGACTATAAAGAAAGGTGAACTTTTGAACTTCAATGTTGGAGACTCTTGAGAGTCCCTTAGACTAAAAGGAGGGCCAATCAGTCAATCCTAAACTGATTGGATCCTAAAGAAATCAGTCCTGAATGTTCATTAGAAGGACTGATGCTGAAGCTGAAACTCCAATACTTTGGCCACCTGATGTGAAAACTCATTGGAAAAGACACTGATGCTGGGGAAGATTGAAGATAGAAGGAGAAAGGAATGACAGAGGATGAGATGGTTGGATGGCATCACTGACTCGATGGACTTGAGTTTGAGCAAGCTCTGGGAGTTGGTGATGAACAGGGAAACCTGGGGCACTGCAGTCTGTGGGGTCACAAAGAGTTGGACACAACTGAGTGACTGAACTGAACTGAAGTGTCTAGACAACAAGTAAAGAAAAAAAAAAGTACTTACTATATGCCAGGTCACTACTGTAATTAAGCAGGACCCTATGGTCAGTCCTTCCTCCATATCTTCTACTTTAATTGGACACAACTGAGTGACTGAACTGAACTGAAATGTCTAGACAACAAGTAAAGAAAAAAAAACAACAGTACTTACTATATGCCAGGTCACTACTGTAACTAAGCAGGACCCTATGGTCAGTCCTTCCTCCGTATCTTCTACTTTAGTTCCTTTCTGAAGTACTTGGATGACAGTATTTGATGCACATTTCCTGAGTTGTTTTACAGATGTGAATCCCCGCCACCACCACCCCCCCCAGTCAAATGGAAGATGTTAACTACTTGACAACCATGAGCACAGAGCCCCAAGCCTACTGTAGCCTAAGGACTGATAATATTAACCCCTGTGACACCACCCTTGTTACCTCATGATCAGCCAGTCAGAGAATTGTGCACGAGCTGATCACATAACCTGTGACCCCTCCTCCCTCACCTGGCTTTTATTTTATTTTAGCTACATGACATTGTGCAGCTTTCTGGATCTTAGTTTCCCCACCAGGGGTTTAACCTGGACATGGGCATTGAAAGTATCAAGTCCTAATCACTGAACTGCCTGGTAATTCCCTCACCTGGCCTTTAAAAATGCTTTGTTAAAAGCTTTTGAGGAGTTTGGGGTTTTAGAGCACCAGCCATTGTCCTCCTTGTATTAGTGCATTTACAATAAACATTGCACTTTTCATCACCACAACCAAGTGTCAGTAGATTGGCTTTACTGCTCACAGGCAGGCAGACCCAAGTTTGGTTCAGTAGCACTAAGAATATTGAGAAGATGGAATTCTTTTTGCTTAGCTGGAATTCAAAGTTGGTCTTCCCTATCATCAGAATCAAAAGCAAAAGCTCATCTGAAAATGCTGGTTTTTAATAAATTGTATATATTTTATCTTTGAAATTTTCTTTTCATCTGTACCACCAAATACTGATATTAGCCCATCAGCATATTGTTTTAACTGAACATATTCACTGGAAAGCATTTATATAATTCTATTAAATTCTTCTTTTGATATTTGCCTTTTAGCATGTCATTGCATTGTAGATTAATTGAAGTTTAGGCAGAAGCTCCTCAATTATATGAAAATTATCTTTGCACTTAGATCTAGATCCAAAAGACTGATGGAATTGTAGTTTGAACTCAGAAAATGTGTCTCTATTAATTTGTTTGAATATGGAGAACTCACATCTTAACTTATTAATAGCATGCTGCTGCTGCTGCTAAGTTGAAGTAAAGTATATAAAGCAGCTTGAAATTGTTTGTGATTCAAAC